TCTCCGTCATCAGGTGGGACCGTCACAGCCGGATTAGCTGCATCAAGTGAGGCAGCGATTCAAGATGTAATCCCTTAAAAGCGAGTTGAGGGGGGAGGAGAGGGGGGGAGCTCATCAGAATGTGGTAGCCAATGAATGGAACGTATCTCCTCTCCTCCCCCCTCAACTCGCTTTTAAGGGATTACATCTTGAATCGTTGCCTCACTTGATGCAGCTGATCTGGCTGTGACGGTCCCACCTGATGACGGAGACTTGTGTTGCCTCCGAAACGTCGTGATCTTTATTTTATTTTATTTTTATTATTTTGATGTTTTACCTACGTGACTTTACCGAAAAAACCTAAGAATATGCAAATTTTTACCTGGCAGTCCCTTTGATTGGTGGAAAACCAACCACCGTCGGGTTGGGCTGCCCACCCCTTACATTGTCATTGGCTGCCGACATTTGGGCCACGCCCATTTCACACCCTTTATAAACAGTTTGCCTCGGAAGCTAACCCCCCTTTTCCTGAAGACGACCGCTTGTGTTGCGATCGAAACGTCGTAGTTTTTTTGTTCTTTTTTGTTCTTTTCTTTGAACCTATCTACGTGACTTTACCGAAAGACCCAACAATATACATCATCATACAATTGTCCTGGAAGGCCCCTTGGTTGTGGAATAATACATTTGATTGTATGGAGATATGGAGCTGGAGCCTATTTATTTATCTATTTATTTATTTGCACACTGAGCCCCACAAATGTTTCCCTTTCAATCAACAGGGGGGGAGGGGGGGCTATTGTGTCGATTGGAGTGTTCAAATTAAACTTTTTTTTATGTTAAAGTCTCACTTAAATTGCTAAACTACTCAACTATTTTCATTTTACCAGATAAGGTCCCGCTGACCTATACAGCTTTTTTTTATCAGAAGCGACCTGAGCCACCATATTATAGCTCAACGAAGTGGCTTATCAACGTGTGGACATTTATAGCAGAAGCTAAATACTCTGTAATCGTATTCTTAGGTGTTTTCGGTAAAGTCACGTCGGTAAAACATAACATTTATTTATTAATTATTAATTTTAATGTTTTACCTACGTGACTTTACCGAAAACACCTAAGAATATGAATCCTTGCAGTCACGAAAGCTTCAAATCTAGAACTCTGTAATCGCACGTCGATTCTAAATGGGGAGGGGGAAAAACCGGAGGACCCGGACAAAAATCCACGCGACCACGGCGAGAGAAAAGAGAGAGAGACCCTGCAAACTCCAAATCTACAGCAGGCGTCAGGATCGGGATCGAACCCACGACATCCTGCAAACCAAGGCGAGGTAGTTAACATCTCCGAGCCACCGCAGCGCCCTTCCTGCCAATAACAGCTGTGACTAGGCACCCAGCATTCGTTTTGAGAGGCCGTGCATCTCGCCGATGAGACCCCAACAAGGTTGAGAACTGTTTTTGTGGAGGTCTCCAGCGAGGTTCTCGTTTGTTCCGTTACGAATAACTCACGTCGTGGTTTTTGTGTTTTACACCCGAGCCGGTTCAGCCCAGCACCCTTTAGATAATCGCAGGGTCGGCGAGTCAAACATTTCCGTAACGATAATAATAATAAAAAAAACTGCTGCTCATAATGATGAGATTTAATTTTGTTGCCAGGAAGTCCTCACTTATTCCTAAACGATGGCGCGCAGGGTGTGCCCCCTCGACTGTGGTTCAATAATTGAGGTCCTGGCAAGTGACCTCGGAAGACGCCACTGGGTGGTTCACTGCTCTCTGCTGGCTGGGCGTTCCGCGCGGGACGCCCCCACGAAATGTCACGATCGGACTGCGCTGAGCAGCCGCCGATTATTATTGTTCTTTTTAATTGGCAGTCGCTTTGTCAGATCCACTGCTGGATCGAGGCCTCTTCAGGTGCTGGAGAAGTGGAGGATGGGAGGGTGGGAGGGTGAGAGAGTGGGGGGTTTTGAGCATACTTCACCACGCTGGTCAATGCGGGTTGGTGAAGAGGCGTGGGGGGAGAGGGTGGGGGGGTTGGCTTTATCAGTCGCTCACCAATGGTGTTGTCGCCATGGCCTGGATTCAAACTCAGGTCACCCGGCTCTTTGCAGATCTTAGGTCTTTGAGTTAGTGCGAATGTCTCTATGTGAATCTGTGGGTCTCTGTGTGAGTCACGTGGGTATTTATGAGTCTATGGGTATCAACGTGCGTGTGGGAATCTACTAATATTTAATAAATAAAATAAAAAGCTCATTATCAGTTTACTGCTGCGTGAAGGCCTCACTCACATGCCGTGTCAGCCATCGGGTGGGTTGTTTGATCATACTTCCCCATTTGGCTCAGTCGCGATTTTGGTGCAAACCCATTGAATCCAGACTCACATTCCGTCGGTTCCTTTGTGAGAGTCACGCTCTCCGTGGAGATGGAGCGATGGGCTCGGCTCTCGCGGAGGAGCCGAGATGGTTTAGCGACATCGCTGGGAACTTGAGAAGGGATGGTGGCAGCTTTGGGAAGGCATTCATCCAGCAGTGGAGGAACCATGGCTTATTATTACTAGGATCATTGCATGGACGGGCTGCAATAAATGTCGATAGCTGGATGTATTCACCCAGCAGTGGATTGATAATGCCTGACAATGATAACGACAATGATGATGATGCAGAAGATGAAGAATAACTTCATCTTGTTGAATAAGTTCACTTTAAATTGGCCTCAATCGCTGCAATTGTTCCCGTGTCCGTGAGATATATTGGCCGATGGCTTCGTGAGAGCTTTATCCAGCAGTGTGTACATCACGGCCGACGATGATGATCATGCCGATGATAGAATAATGTTAACCTGATAAGTTAACTTTGAATTGGCGGACATTGTTGTAAGTGTGGGCCCGTGGCTAGATCTTAACTCACTCGCCTGCCATACAGGACGTCGTGGGTTCGATCCCGATCCCGACCCTGACGGATGCTGCTGTATATTTGGACTGTGCGTGTTCTCCCTGTGGTCGCGTGGAATTTTTTTCTGGGTCCTCTGGTTTTTCTCCGCGCATTTAGAATCAACAAGCGTTTAGAGTAATTAAGCCCCACTTCGTTCAACTATCATTCGTGGCCAAGTCGCTTCTGTAAAAGAGCTCTATAGCTCAGTGGGCCTTGCTTGGTAAAATGAAAAATAAATGTTTAGTTGTATTTTATTTCCTACACATTCCACAAGTAGTGACTAATCCCATATCTGCATTTCCCATAAATATGCTAAATTCCTCTGTTGATATGCAAATTCCTTTGTCAAGGTGCTCTTCCTCCCCTAACCCAGCTTAAATATGCACTACCAAGCTTGGTGGTGTTCATTCAGACGCTGTCTTTCCGACAGACCTCGTTCTTCACCTCAGGACAGCTGCTTGCGTTGTGGCCGAAACGTCGTGAGAATTGTATTATTTTATTATGTTTTATTTTTTATAATTTCATTATCTCCCTTCTACGTGGGTGACTTTACCCGAAAGAACCAAGAAGATTCAGTTGTATTCATTGGCCGATGGCTTTGGGAGGTGGTTTTCAGTCCAAGCAGTGGATAGACCGCGGCTCGCAACCACGGTGAGGGATTGACTCCGTCGCTTCCTAACGGGCATCCTCCGTGCGCGCCGTCAAACTCAACGCGAGCGCCAAAAGCAGCTTCCCTCCCTTCGAAAGTGATGGTCGCGATCCGTTGCCGAACATCGTCTGATCCGACGCGGCTCTTCGGCTCAGTCGGGATAACGAGGGCTGCCGGAAAACTCTCCTCCATCGGCAATAATTTTTGGCATCCCACGTCAATTCCGCGGACCCGCCTTCGAAAACCGCCTTCGTGTCCGTTGACACGCTGAGCTGAGTTGGCTTCGGTGTTTTTTTTTCAGTCGCGTCGTTTTTGCTTGACTCTGGCTACGATCCCCGGTTTATATCCAGCAGTCCTGCTTATTAAGTTGTCTTCATGCAGCAACGGGCAGGTGAGGCCTTCGTACAGCAGCGGATAGACCATGTCTGATGGTGATGATGGTAGCAGTATCGTTATCATGAAGCGGTATCATCATCAGGAGCAGCATTGTCATCAGCAGCAGCAGAAACAACAGCAATAGACAAATGTTAGTCGATCACTCCAACACTTTATTTCATGTACAGGGGATAATGTATTGTAATTCATTAACACATGTTAATGCGTTAACACGATATGTAATTAGCACACGGAATATTTAAATAACGTAAATAAATCAATGCATTAATTAAGAAAGGAGTTGATACGTGCTACTTAATTTATTTCCTTGCCTATATGATTTTGCCTGTGCTGTACTAAACACCCCCTCCCCCTCTGCACCTTACCCCCCCCCCCTCCCCCCCACGATGTGTCCATCTCCCCGTATCTCTCCAACTCATCTCCCCCCTCCACTCACCATCCACGCTCACCCCCCCCCCCCAATTACTCTCTGCAATATTTCCAAAATCATCTTCCATCCATCCACTTTTCCTAAACGTCCCCATCCCCCCCTCCCTGCCATCTCCCCCCCCCCTCCATCCATCACCCACTCACCACCCCACCTGTCAATCTCACTCACCAACCACCTCCAAAAAAAATCTCTCCCCAAACCCAACTCACCTCTCACCTCCATCCCGACTGCCCCCCCACTCCCCCCCTCCTCCTACGTGTCTATGGTGATGGTGGACGCATCACCATCACCACCATCACCACCATCACCACCATTACCACCACCACCATCACCACCATCACCACCACCGCCATCACCGCCACAACTACCATCACCACCATCACCACCATTACCACCACCACCATCACCACCATCACCACCACCACCATCACCACCATCACCACCACCACCATCACCACCACCACCACCATCACCAACATCACCACCACCATCACCACCATCACCACCACCACCACCACCATCACCACCATCACCATCACCACCACCACCATCACCACCACCATCACCATCATCACCACCACCATCACCATCACCACCATCACCACCACCACCACCAGGAGAGAACTCGTGCGGCGGCGGTGGCGGTGGAGACAAGAGCCCGCCGGGGGGTCCCCCGTCCAAGCGTGCGCGCACCGCCTACACCAGCGCCCAGCTGGTGGAGCTCGAGAAGGAGTTCCACTTCAACCGCTACCTCTGCCGGCCGCGCCGCGTCGAGATGGCCAACCTGCTGAACCTCACCGAGCGCCAGATCAAGATCTGGTTCCAGAACCGGCGCATGAAGTACAAGAAGGACCAGAAGGCCAAGGGCATCATGGGCTCGCCCGGCGGCGGCCACTCTCCGAGCCGGAGCCCGCAGCTGAGCGGAGTCGCCGGCGGGTTGCCCGGCGGCTACGGCAACCCCCTGCACGGTTTGGGCAACGGCGGCCTCATGGGCGGAGGCGGCTACGACGTCAGCTCGCCCACGTCGTTCCCCAAGTCGCACCACAGCGCGTACGGCATCCACACGGGCGCGTACGGAGCGGCGCTCACAAACTGCCCGCCGACCCCCAAGCGCTACGGCGGGGCCCCCATGGTGCCCGACTACGGCTCGCACCCCTTGCAGGGCGCCGACGGTTTCTGCGGCGGTGGCGGCGGCGGCGGCGGCCTGCAGCAGGCGGGGAGCCCCGTGTATGTGCAGGGAGGCGGCGGAGGCGGCGGCGGCGGCGGCTTCGTGGAATCGGCCGGACCGGCGATGTTTAATCTCTCTCACCTGCCGCCGCCGGGCCATCACCACTCGTCGCCCGTCACTCTGGATTTTAACGGACAGATAAGCGGCGGGCACCACCCGCACGCGGCCTGCAACCAGCATCCGACTTACACCGACTTGTCGTCGCATCACCCTCCACCGCCGGGCCTCCAGGATGTGCCCAAACTGACGCACCTGTAGCGGCACGGGGGGGGTGGGGGAGGACGCGGAGAAGGTGGGCCCGATGAGACTCAGTGGTCTGGAGTTTGACTCCGGGGTTGTTGTTGTTGTTGTTGTCGTCGTCGTTATTGTCGTTTGATGTTGTTGTTGATGTTGCTGTGGGGGTAGGGGTGGGGGTAGGATGGGGGTGTAGGTTAGGTTGGATGAGTGGTGGTGGTGGTGGTGGACAAGTGAGACAGTGGTGGTGGTGGTGGTGATTCACCTGTGATATGTAAACAGTGGTGAGTGCGTGTGTGTGTGACAGGCAGAGTGTATGAGAGTTCGTGTGTGTGGGGAGCGGTGGTGCAGCGGTTAGCGCGCTGCGCCACTGACCCAACCACCAGAGTTCGATTCCCGCTCAAGGCCAATACCAGTGACGATTATCCAAACCGGTACCTGGGCCTCCCCAAGGTCGGCTCAGCCATAAATGAGTACCTGGCTCGACGTGTAAACATCGCCAGGAGGGAGACAAAGGCGGCCGGGTGTGATTCTCCTTGTGTGCCGTGACAGGCGGCACTTGCCCCAAGAGTCTGCTCGAGGCTATACGGGGGATATTTGTCTTTGTATGAGTGGATGTAATGATTGCATGTATGAGTACGTATGAGTGTATGTGAGTGTTTGTATGAGTGTACATGAGTGTATGAACGAGTGTGGGAGTTGTTAGTATGTTAAGGTGAATGGGCATCTTTGATTAAGATTATTACCTAGTTTAGACGAACGGACTGTCCGCGCAAGTGCCGATAGTCAGCACTACCAGCCCATAACACGACCCCTACCCCAAACAACACTAGCCACCACAGCCAGTTAACCAGACATTAACCCTCCGTTTAACCCTACATACAGCGGTTTTTTTCAAATTGTAAATGTTGTGGCTCGGTTCTCCAACACGCCGGTGCTGCTGTACTAGTGACGAATTGGCCACGTTCTGTTTACGTGTCAAACCTTACTAGTTGGCTGTGCCGGGTGGTGGCGGGTTTCACAACACACGTATATATATTTACGCGATCTAACCCACAAAAAAAAACCTGTATAATGAATGATATTGGTCGCTAGAACCCTACTAAATGTTAAACCTACACTGGCTACTACAGCCAGTTAACCAGGCACCTGGCCCTATCCCTAACGCTACCCAACACAGCCAACCAGACCCTGTCAATCACCCTACTCTATGCCATTGCAGGATCTGCACCTCTATCTTGTACCGCATAGTCTTGAACCCGGTGTGGGCTTCCTCGAGTTCAACTTTGGCACCTCGTAAACGGCCACACCGGGGAAGACAAAGTCGGTCGGTCGGTTGAGCCTCGATCATTTCTGGCCACACCACACCAACGCCTATCTCTCTCTCGTCAAAGACAAAGATCCCCCGAATAGCCTGATCAGACTGTTCGGACAAGTGCTGTTAGCGAGCAGCACCTATGAAGGCCGGCACGGCACGCGATGGGGTGGGTGGCCAGCACCATGCCCGGCCGCCTTTGTCTCCCCAGTGTGCTTATTTACACACCGCCCCAGGTACTCATTTGAGGCTGAGTCGACCTCGGGGTAGCCGCAGGACCGGCTCAGATATTCGTCACTTGGCGTTGGTGGCCGTGAGCGGAATTCGAACTCGGGCTCGCCGGGTTCGTAGCGCAGCACCGCGCAAATCCACTGCCGCTAGCACACCCTATCTCTCTGTCACACACATGCCTTGCTTGCCTTAATAGGCGCTCGCTAACCACCCCACCTGCCCCGACAGTCCGTTCGTACGTACGTCTAAACTGCGTAGACTCTTGAGTGAGAGCGAGCCTGGTGTGTGCACCGCAATGCTGGTCACAGTCGCCTGTGTGGTGTGATGAGGTCAGTGCCAAGGGGATGATGATGATGATGGTGGGGGGACAGGGGGGGGGGGGCTGGGTGATTCTTTATAATTAAAGAAGAAAACATAACACGGAGTTGGTAGGCAATAGTCGCGTACTTATTATACAAGTCGATGTTATTTATGTGTCACGTACATTCCATTGTTGATGATGATGATGATGACGCCTGTTCCGCAAACGTTGATGGCAACGACGACGACGATGATGGAATTTGGAGACCTCTCGTAATGTTGTTGTTGTTGCTGCTGCTGCTGCTGCTGGTGGCGGTGTAGCGATTTTGTTGTTGCGTGTGGTATCAGAACACCAATGGGTACATTTGGAAGAAAAAAAAATGTTTTTGTTTGTTAGAGCCCAAAGCCCTGGGCGTCCTACTCCGTCGGCGGAGCGACGCAAAATCGCCTGCGACCTGCTTCACGCGCATCTGAGCGAGGAGTTGCAGCAGCGGTGACATCTCGATCGGTTGCAGTCAACCGGTTGCGGCGATTGGTTGCGTGCGACAAAGTTGCGCGACCGGGCAATCGGGGGGCGTGGACCTTGACACTTTTTGTTGTTGTTGTTGAGCGGGGCGAGCGGTTTCAGGGAAGATTTCACGAACCCCCATTTGCTCTCCGAGTTTTACCCATTCCTTTGTTGTGAGTACAATCGGCTGCTGCTACACGCTAAACTTACCCGATGATTGCCCACGTTGATGTAGAGAATGTTGAATCAGCGCTCTACGTCACGTGGAACGCCCGTACGCACATGCACACGCGTACACACGTAACATTGATGCACAGGTACACACAAAGACAAAGATCCCCCTATAGCCTTAACAGACTGTCTGGGCAAGTACTGTTAGCGAGCACCTATGAAGGCCGGCATGGCACACGAAGAGATCGATGGCCAGTACCATGCCCGGCCGCCTGTGTCTCAACAGTGTACACACGTACACACATGCGCACGTACACATGCGTACACGCATAAACACGTACGTAGACGCACACTCACACACCTTGACATACACATACACACACGTGCACACACAAATACATATCCATGCACACACATACACGTACAAAGACATACGTACACATGTACTCGCACATTCACTACACACGTGCACAGTACGCACACGTTCACACATACAACAATTCACGTACGAAGACAACAGACACACACACATTCTTACAAAGACGAAGACACAAATACACACTGCAGGCCTCGCACTCACTTAAATTGTTTAGCAATCATCGGGCGCGTGAAGCGCGTATAACGAGCCTCAACTTGTCATTTGGAAGCGGATCCCGGGGGGGGGGAGGTGATGGGTGTGGCGGAAGTGACGTCATAATGAGCTTCCCTATGGCACACGTGGCAGGGCTGAGAGGGCTATGGCGTACGGCAAATCTGTGAAAAACCTTTGCGATGTGAAGGAAAGATGCGAATGTTTACGCACACGCTTGGCACGGCGACACACAACGTCACTCGCATACACACACACGTACACTAATACCTGTCAACCCCTTATCAGTGCCCTACCTTATTACAGACCAATTCAGACCCTATTGGTCACCCCGTGCCCCTTATACATCTCAACGTTCATCCTACAAAGTCACACGGAAGAAACACAAAGAGACAAAAAATGTGTTTTTTGTTGTTTTTAAACGGATGTACGCCGTATGGACCTGAAAACTCAATTTCCCAGTTCAAGAATACGTCTAAGCCGTATGGGTTGACAGGTATGCACTCTTCAACTCACATGCATACATCGATGAACACACACACACTACAAATGTCCTCCGTTGAGCCTTTATCAGACTGTTCGCGAGGGACACGAGTGAAGGTCGGCACGGTACAACATCACGCCGCGGCCGCCTTCGTCTCCCCAGTACTGATGTCTAAACACAGAACACATACATACACACATGCACACAGACGCACATATACATTGGCATTAACTTGCACACACAAGGACACAGTGACATGCATACACTCGCACACTTGCACAGATCCTCAGTTTAGTTTTACAGGGTAAATGAGCTGGCACTGTTAGCGAGCACCTATTAAGGATGGCATGGCATTGTCTGGCACACGGTGGGGTGGTATGGCCAACGCTTTTGAATCCATGCCCAGCCGCCTTTGTCTCCCTTGTAGGCGATGTTCACAAAGCACAGGGTACCGTACTCTTTTGAGGATGAGTGAACCTAGACAAAGCGCAGGACCGATTCTAGTATTGGTCGTGAGCGGTAATAGAACTCGGGTCACAGCCGGATTCGTAGCGCGGCGCGCTAACCACGGCGCCACCGCTCCCACACGCGCGCTCACACACACACACAAAGATCCCCCGGATAGCCTTAATAGACTGTTGGGGCAAGTGCTGTTAGCGAGCACCTATGAAGGCCGGGACGGCACACGAGGAGGTGGGTGGCCAGCACCACGCCTGGCCGGCTTCGTCTCCCCAGTGGCGATGTTTACACATCGTACCAGCTGCTCATTTGAGGCTAAGTCGACCTAGGAGAGGCCCAGGACCGGTTCAGATAATCGTCACTGGTGGTGGCCGCGAGCTGGCATCGAGCTTGGGTCGCTGGGTTAGAAGCGCAGCGCGCTCACCTACTACAATACCGCTCCCCACACACACGTGCATACATACACACACACACGTGCATACATACATACACACACACGTGCATACATACACACAAATCTAGCACGATATTCGCGGGCAGTAGCATGATGATGGTGATGATGGTGATAGGTGATGATGGTAGTGGTAATGGTGATGATGATGATGGTAGTGATGGTGATGATGGTGGTGGTGATGGTGATGATGGTGGTGGTGATGGTGATGGTGGTGATGGTGGTGGTGGTGATGGTGGTGGTGATGGTGATGATGGTGGTGGTGATGGTGATGATGGTGGTGGTGATGGTGATGATGCTGGTGGTGATGGTGATAATGATGATGGTAGTGATGATGGTTATGAAGTGTCAAACCTCTCTGCTATGGATCCTCATTCTCACATCCTCCAATAATAATTTCAAACCCTTGCAATACGTTGAGATATTTGTTATAAATGACCACGTGCAACTCGCGGGGTGTGGTTATGTACACGTTGCACGTTCTCGTGGCATTCTTTGTTGTTTTGTTAAAAAGACAATGTAGCCAGGCAATGGCCAGATAATGTGGGTGGATTCTAAATATGTTTCTACGATTATTATAAAACTATTATTCATATTATTATCGCAATTATTTCACCTATGGTTATGAGAGTGTCGATATTCGTGTCAAGGTGCAAGGTGGATCATCATTATTATTACTACCAGATAGTAAGAGGTCGTTGCGGCTTGTATGAGGCCTTCATCCAGCAGTGAATAGACCATGGATGATGATGAGATGACTGTGACAGTCTAAGCAGTGGGCCAATGCTCATTATTAGGAGAGTCGCTATTCATTGTTGCCGCCAGCCAACCTTGAAAAAAATTCCCGGGTTCCAATCCAGGGTGATGAAAGCAGACAAATGCGTTGATCAATTCTCGAGTCAGCCTTTCGTGAAATCAGCTCAGATCAGCCAATGACCAAACTGATAAGTTGTTATTGTTGTTGTGGGGTTTTGTTTTACAATCACTTATTTAAAATATATAGTTTTTGTTGTTTTTGTTGTCGCTGTAAATGATCAGTTTGAGTCTCATATTTGGTGCAAGTTGGAGAGTTCCACAAATCTGATCTGTCACACACAAAGAGACGCGTGAAACACTTCAACGCTTACCGGATTGTAAGACGTACCCCACCCCCACGCTCCGCCACTTAAACGTGTGCTTTAAAAATACAGGGTAAAAACTACACACACACGCGCGCGTTGTATCTTTCAAAGAATGTGGTAAACTGATGAAAAGTAACCACATTTTTTTTTTAACAAGTTGAATTGAAAAAATATAACAAGTTCCACTTAGGCAAACAAAAACTCATGCTTATATTTTTGGTTTCTACCAGTTATAGGCGGTTTGTTTGTTGATGAAGTTAGTGACGTCATTTGTTGTTGCTGTTTGTTTGTTGTTTGTGTCAGCCATGTCGTCTTAGGGTTAAAGATTTGGAACATTTTGTAACCTATATACATACAAACTTCATATTGTTATGATTATTATTACTACCTACCTACCTTACATGCTTAGTGCTTGTATAAACTATAACGATACAAAGCCAGACGTTAATGTATTCGAACTCACAGGGTCATTGTATATACGTTGAAAAAGTCAACCGAGAAGGCGTCTTGAATTTTTCGTTTATAAAATGCTTGAAACGAGAGAGAGCGAGCGAATGTGACAACGTTATCTCACAGTATTTATTTAAAAAGTAAAAAAGTGTTTTGTGTTCTTTCTTTCGGGATGGATGGAGACAATTTAAATATTCTATTTTATTTCACGTTATGATGTCATCATTATGTTTTTTTATATATATTAAGCAAACATATATTGCACTTAAAAGTGATGTGTTTTTTTTCTGTCATTTTTGTTCGTTACTATGGAATATCCGCCTCCCCCATCCTCTACCCCCCCCCCCTTCTCATCCTCCTACTCCTCTATACACCTCCTCATGTTCCTACTCCTCCTCATCTTTACCCCTCCACCTAATCCCCACACCCCCCTCCTCCCCACCCCTGGTTAATAATACACGATTCCTGTAATAAACAATCGATGAAACGTGACGTGACTGAAGAACACAGATCAAAAACACACAAAACAAAAAACAAAAAATTGTCAATTTTATCCTGTTTATGGTCAGTACGATATATATATTTATTTGAAAGATGTGTCAAAAGTTATTTATAATAATACGAGATTTAAATACGTAAAAAAATCCACAAAAAATAACACACACAAAAAAGACAAATCCATGCATTATCGTTCTTGCCTATATTATAAACTGTGTTCTCTGTTTAGTGCTAGAGATATTCGTGTATAGTTTGATAGTCGAACTTAAGAAAATGATGCTTTGTTCTTTGAGAGTATTTCGGTGCATGATGTACGTAGAAGCCTTTAATAAATATCAATGTTCGACTCTTGCAAACGAAAGCAGAACTCTCATTGTGCAGGCTGAGCCGATATAGGAATCGGCTTGTTGCCGTGAATTTCGTACCCTTAACCCCCAATGTTATCCAACTTTAATTTCCTTTTTAAATATAGACGCGCGCAATCGTGCATAATTTGCTCCCAATAAATTTATTTCACAAACGATTTTGCACGCGCGCGTGTGTGTCTGTGTGTGTATTGTGGCTCTGGGGAGCGGTAGCGGTTAGCGCTACGCTGCGCTATGAACCTGGCGACCCGGGTTCGATTCCCGCTCACGGCTAACACCAGTGACGATTATCTGAACCGGTCCTGGGCCTCCCCTAGGTCAACTCAGCCTTAAATAAGTACCTGGCGCGGTGTGTAAACATCGCCACTGGGGAGACAAAGGCGGTCGGGCGTGGTGCTGGCCACCCACCCCCTCGTTCGTGTACCGTTCCGGCCTTCATAGGTGCTCGCTAACAGCACTTGCCCCTACAGTCTGTTAAGGCTATACGGGGGATCTTTGTCTTTGTTGTGGCTCCGAGGTCGACTAAAATGAGTACCTGGTGCGGTGTGTAAACATCGGCAGTGGGGAGACAAAGGCGGTCGGGCATGGTTCTTGGTTGTTGGCCACCCACCTCATCGAGTGCTGTGCCGGTCTTCATGGGTGCTTACTCGCTAACAGCACTTGCCCCAAGAGTATATAATGTCTATACGGGGGACCTTTGTCTTTGTGTGTGTGAGTGAGTTAGCCGTTAACCCACAACACTTGAGGTTCTGTCCCGTGACCTGTCAGGAGCGAGCAGTCCACACTAGTCTTCACGCCCTCTAAGTGCACCCAGCCTGGCACAAGTCACCGGTTGTGTGTGAGTCTCTAGATCAGGGGTGGGGAACCTTTTTCTGCCAAGGGCCATTTGGCAATTCACAACATCATTCGCGGGCCATACAAAATTATCAACTTAAAATTAGCCTGTTATATTTGGTCAAACATTTAATTAACTCACCCCTAACGTGATGGCTGGAACTGCTTCTCTTTGGCGAGGCGTGTGATGTTAGCTGGTATTGATGATGTTGCTACTCGCAACTGCTTTTCCAGGTTTGCTCCGAGATTTATTGAATTTCGAGTGCCGCCTGCGGTTGCCTTGGCAGGGCCACACCAAATGATTTCGCGGGCCTTGTACGGCCCGCGGGCCGGACGTTTCCCACCCCTTCTCTAGATGCATATTTTTGGCTTAGAGTATTTGGCTACTGTTATATGTTCCCACATGAGCTATCATTCGTGGCCAGGTCGCTTCTGAAAAAAAAATCTAAATCGCACAGTGGCTCCCTTACCTGGTATGATCATTTCAAAATAGTTTTAGTTTGATAGCCCGCGCTGTGACAGACTGATCTCAAAAGTGTACGTGTGTTTTTGTGTAGCGGGGGAGCGGTAGTGTAGCGGTTAGCTACCACACTATCCAACCCGGACCTAATCCCGAACACGAACCACACGTGACACCCCCCCGCCCGCCGACTCGACAACAAAAACAACAACAACAAAATCAAATTTCGATTTAAAGCTTTCGTGACTGCAAGGATTCATCTTCTTTGTTCTTTCGGTAAAGTCACGTAGAATGGAAATAATAAAATAATAAAAATAACTTTTTATTTTATTATTTGTATTACTTTATTATTATTTTATTATGTTTTATTTTTATTATTTCCATTCTACGTGACTTTACCGAAAGAACCCAGAAGAACAACAAAATCATCCCAACAATCTACGAATTGGATCGCCAGCACGAATCGTGTGACACGCGCGCCCTGCCACGGGCCGAGGCGAAGGGGTGTCGCGTGAGGACGAAGAAACCGCTCGGGTCGCAGTCTCCGCGTGGCCTCCCCAGCGACGTTCGAGCGACGTCTGCCAGAAGTGTTCAGCTTCTCACTTGTGGCCCCCTCTGAGCAATGTCCCGCGCTGGTGGTTGATCCTCTGTGAGTGGCACCCAGGCTTACCGATGATGGTGGTGGTGGTGGTGCTGGTTTGGTGGTTGCCCGTGTGACATCGAGCGCCTGTTGGTGGCGAGTGTGAGAGTGTGTGTCTATGCGGGGAGCGGTAAGTGTAGTAGTTAGCGCTACTCTGCGCTACGAACCCGGTGCACCGAGTTTGATTCCCGCTCACGGCCAACGATTATTTGAACCGGGTCCTAGGCCTCCCCTAGGTCGACTCAGTCTCAAATGAGTACCTGGTGCGGTGTGTACACATCGCCACTCGGGTGACAAAGGCGGTCGATTTTAGGAAGCCACTAGAGCGATACACTTTGAAATTTTGATTAAAAACTTTCATTCATTTGGAACTCCTTTATGTGTTTAGTTTGTTGTCCAGGACGGATTCCAATATTCGTCACTGGTATTGGCCGTGAGCGCGAATCGAATAGACCCCACAAAAACAAAGACAAAAGACCCCTCCTCCTCGTATAGCCTTAACAGAGTGTAGGGGCAAGTGCTGTTAGCGAGCGACCTTTAAAGGCCGGCACCGCACACGAGGGTGTGGGTGGCCAGCACCACGCCCGACCTGCCTTTGTATCCCCGGCGACAATGTCTTTACACACCGCACCAGCTACTCATTTGAGGCCGAGTCGACCTAGGGGAGGCTCAGGACCGGTTCAAAAATTCGCCACCGTCATTGATCGTGAGCGGAAATGGAGTTCACCCAACCTCGCACACACGTGATCAAATCACCACAAATCCCACACGCGCCACAAACATTCGTCGCCCACCCCCCCCCCCCCACAAAGTGATTTATTCCAAACTCATCTCGCGCGAATGGGTTACATCACGACACGGTCCACGATGGCGTTATTAGCCAACGCTCCATTTACACAACTACCAGCATCATCCAGCAGTGGATTGGTCATGTCCGATGACTGATAACGATGATCATCTATGACTTTGTGTGTGTGTGTGCGTGTAGTATGTGGGGAGCGGTAGTGTAGCGGTTAGCGCGCTGCACTATGAACCTGGCGACCCGGGTTCGATTCCCGCTCACGGCCAACACCAAGTGGCGAATATCTGAACCGGTCCCGGGCCTCCCCTAGGTCGACTCAGCCTCAAATGAGTACCTGGTGCGGTGTGTAAACATTGCCACTAGGGAGACAAAGGCGGTCGGGCGTGGTGCTGGCCACCCACCCCCTCGTGTACCGTTCCGGCCTTCATAGGTGCTCGCTAAGAGCACTTGCCTCTACAGTCTGTTCAGGCTATACGGGGGATCTTTGTCTTTGTCTTTGTACTATGTACGGCGTATGTCTGCATGCCAGCGATGGTTGGCGTAGCGGTTTGCAACACGTGAGTTAAGATTCCCCAGCCGACGGCTAACATTAGCTGGGCAGAGTTGATATCAGCATCCTGGCGTAGGTCGACTCAGCCTTAACACCAGTACTGTATTTACTTGGGACCGGTTTTTTTGTTGTAAAAAAACTAAAAACACAGCACCGGTGAGACAAAGGTAGCGGGGCGTGGTAACCACCCGAGCCACGCCACTTCATCGTTCACCCGTCGACTTCTTGTGTGTATGTTGAACTTCTTTCGCACCGTACGTAGCCAACTTTGCTAATCGGAGGTTCAGTGTTGAGTCTATGGTGCAGTGTTGAGTCTATGGTGCAGTGTTGAGTCTATGGGCAGTGTTGAGTCTATGGTGCAGTGTTGAGTCTATGGGCAGTGTTGAGTCTATGGGCAGTTTTGAGTCTATGGGCAGTGTTGAGTCTACGGGCAGTGTTGAGTCTATGGGCAGTGTTGAGTCTATGGGTAGTGTTAGTCTATTGGTAGTGATAGTCTATGGGCAGTGTTGAGTCTATGGGCAGTGTTAGTCTATTGGTAGTGATAGTCTATGGGCAGTGTTGAGTCTATGGGCAGTGTTGAGTCTATGGGCAGTGTTGAGTCTATGGGCAGTGTTGAGTCTATAGGTAGTGTTAGTCTATTGGTAGTGATAGTCTATGGGCAGTTTTGAGTCTATGGGCAGTGTTAGTCTATTGGTAGTGATAGTCTATGGGCAGTGTTGAGTCTATGGGCAGTGTTGAGTCTATAGGTAGTGTTAGTCTATTGGTAGTGATAGTCTATGGGCAGTTTTGAGTCTATGGGCAGTGTTAGTCTATTGGTAGTGATAGTCTATGGGCAGTGTTGAGTCTATGGGCAGTGTTGAGATTATGGGTAGTGTGTATGTTGAACTTCTTTCGCACCGTACGTAGCCAACCGTGCTAATCGGAGGTGCTTAATAAGTGCTCGCTAACATCACTGACCTGCCCCTCCCCCCCCACAAAACATGATTGCTTGAGAGGAGATCGTAAACTTCCAACATTGTGATGAGAATGCTCATGCAAGGGGGATCTGTCTCTCTCCTGCTCACACACGCAGAGAGAGAGAAACGCCGTGCGTAAAGACGCCATTTCGTGCGGGGCAGTGCGCGTGGGGGCGCGCTCGGGGTTGCGAACGCAAGAACACAGCAGACAAAGACCCCCCGTGTAGCCTCGCACAGGCCATTGGGACAAGTGCTGCTGCCGCTGTGAGCCAGCCCATGATGTCTGTGAATGAATAACCGGGCCAAATGGGCTGTGGATGGAGAGCCGTGGTTTGGTGGTGGCCAGAAATAAAGATAAAAACCACGCCTGCCCGGCCGCCTTTGTCTCCCCCAGCGCTGATATTGTTATACACTGCACCTGCCCGTTCGTTTAGCGGCTGAGTGGACCTAGGTAGGTACTGCATAGGGGGATCCCTGAAACCGGTTTAACTTGTGTGAGTGTATGTGCGTGTGTGTTTGTTCTTGTGTGTGTATGCAGCATGTGTGTGTGTGTGTGATTGTACGCGTGTGCATGTGTGTTTGTACGCGCGCGTGTGTGGTGTGTGTGGGGAGCGGTGGGGTAGCGGTTAGCGCGTTGCGCTACGAATCCGGCGACGCGAGTTGGATTCCCGCTCACGGCCCTCACCCAGTGACGATTATCTGAACCGGTCCTGGGTTTATCCCTAGGTCGACTCAACCTCAAATGAGTACCTGGTGTGGTGTGTAAACATCGCCATTGGAGAGACAAAGGCGGCGGGCGTGGTGTTGGCCTCCCACCCCCCTCGTGTGCCGTGCCGGCCTTCATAGGTGCTCGCTAACAGCACTTGCCCCAACAGTCTGTTGAGGCTATACGGGGGATCTTTGTATTTCTTGTGTGTGTATTTGTGTCGTGTATGCGTTGTCGCAGGATGAGTAACCACTACGCCACCGCTGCCCACAAATACGACGCAACACGTATCGGACATCCACTCCAATTTTATTCGAGCGATCATAACATGCCAGACACGTGGCACGAATGCTTGTTGCAACACCACGAAAGTCACCGTTATGCCTCCACAATGAACAAACCCAACAAGAGTCATCACCTTCACCAACCGGCGTTTGACCAGCGTGGTGAAGTATGGTTAAATATCCTCCAATCCCAAGCTCCCCCCCCCCCCACACGCCTTCATCCAGCAGTGGATTGACACACAATCGCGTTGCTAAACAATGAATACGTTGCATAATGCCACACGAATGGAATGGCGATTAGGCTACGCGTATTAAAAGCTCGTTATCCTGCAAACTTAAAGCGTCAGTTTATTTCTGAATGTTTTTTTGTTTGTTTTTCAAAGACACGCGCGCATGCTGCTTATAAACTTTGAACCGCTTCTTGCGTTCTCTATAAAGTTAAACGAAATCAGAGATCCTGCAATGTTACCACGTGTAAATAAATACAAATGTGACACCGTCCGTGTTTTGAGGCCTTAAAAGGGAACGTCCACATGAGGCTGACGTTTCGGGCAATATCCCTTCGTCATTCGCACGAGATTGATGCCAGTAGTGCGTATGCCTAAATAAAAAGTCAATCAGCCTATTTCAGTATATGTCCAGACCAACGTTATCAAGCAGCAGTATTTGTTTAAGCGAGTTTGTTTAAGAGATGTAGGCAATACATGCACGTTAGAACACACAGTCAAACAAATATATGATATATAGAAAAATACAAAAAAGCCAAATGTATACTACTATATAGGTATTCATATTGAAGGGGTATTTTTTAACACAACACCCAATGTGACTGTAGATGCGGCCTGGTGGATATGTTCGCGTTCAAGACAATTGTAATAAAATAAGATAATTAACTTCGTGTAAAGCGATGTTGTCTGCTGGCCGAGTTGCATTTAAATGAGTTTTTAAAAAACACGCAGCACATTTGTCAATGGCGCTGTGGGTGTTAGAGAACACATATATAATAGGCGACGTTTCAGACAATGACCCTTCATCATAGCACATACATCATAGAGAGGTCAGAGGGATGAAAGTTAATACAGATTGGAGACTTCGCTTAATTTGAGCGCCGCGGTGACGAGCTGTTAACTCCCTCGCCTCGTTTACAGGAGGTCGTGGGTTCGATCCCGACCCTTGACGCCGATTGTATATTTTGAGTTTGAATTTTCTCTCTTTCTCCCCGTGGCCGCGTGGATTTTTCTCCGTGTTCTTCGGTTTTTTTCCCTCCACATTCAGAATCAACATCACGCGTTTCGAGTGTTTGGCTACTGCTGTACATTTCCACGAGATGATGATAAGCCACTTCGTTGAGCTATCATCTGTGGCCAAGTCGCTTCTCAATGAGCCTTACACGGTAAGATAAAAAATAAAAGTTGTATAGTTTTTTTAGAGTTTAACTTGCACTCGACTTGTATATATATCCGTTTTAAGGCCATACAATAGTGTTATTGAAGTATGTGTTGGGTTTGTTGATGTTGTTATTTGTGCTTTTGTCGCACTGCCAACGCAACAACAACAGCAGCAGCAACGCCAGCAAATGAATTGTGGTTAACCTTTAGTAAAAGATCTACACACAACTTGCAATGAACCTCTGCTCGGTACATCAACCTCTCGCAATGACGACCCGCGCGTTGCTTGACTCTGGAAATGACCAACTGATTGATCAGCCTGTTGAACAACGAAACAAGGGCACGTGTGCTATTACAGATACGAGACAAAGATCCCCCGTGTAGCCTTTAACAGACTGTCGGGGCAAGTGCCGTTAGCGAGTAGCACCTATGAATGCGCGTATCGTGTACACGAGGGTGGTGGGTTGGCCAGCACCACGCCCGGCCGCCTTTGTCTCCCCAGTGGCGATGTTTACACATCTCGCACCAGGTACTATTTTTTTTAAGGCCGAGTCGACCGAGGGGGAGGCCCAGGACCGGTTCAGATGATCGTCACTGGCGTTGGCCGTGAGCGGGAATCGAGTCCGTGTCGCCGGGTTCACAACACAGCGCGATAACCACTACACTACCGCTCCCCTACATGCACACTCACACACACATGTACACACACACATGCACATGTACACACATGCACACACACACATGCCTGCACATACACATGCACACACACACACACGTACACACACACATGCACACACACACATGTACACACACACATGCACACACACATGCCTACACATACACATGCACACACACACACACATGTACACACACACATGCCTGCACACACACATGCACACACACATGCCTGCACACACACACATGCACACACACACATGCACGCACACACATGCACACACATGGACACACACACACATGCACACACACATGCCTGCACATACACATGCACACACACATATGCACACACACACATGCACACACACACATGCACACACACACATGCACGCACACACACATGTACACACACAAGCCTGCACACACACACACATGTACACACACACACATGCACACACACACATGCACACACACATGTACACACACACATCCATGGGTAGTGTTGAGTCCATGGGTAGTGTTGAGTCTATGGGTAGTGTTGAGTCTATGGGTAGTGTTGAGTCCATGGGTAGTGTTGAGTCCATGGGTAGTGTTGAGTCTATGGGTAGTGTTGAGTCTATGGGTAGTGTTGAGGCCATGGGTTGTGTTGAGTCTATGGGTTGTGTTGAGTCTATGGGTAGTGTTGAGTCTATGGGCAGTGTTGAGTCTATGGGTAGTGTTGAGGCCATGGGTAGTGTTGAGTCTGTGTAGTGTTGAGTCTATGGGTAGTGTTGAGTCCATGGGTAGTGTTGAGTCCATGGGTAGTGTTGAGTCTATGGGCAGTGTTGAGTCTATGGGTAGTGTTGAGTCTATGGGTAGTGTTGAGTCTGTGTAGTGTTGAGTCCATGGGTAGTGTTGAGGCCATGGGTAGTGTTGAGTCCATGGGTAGTGTTGAGTCCATGGGTAGTGTTGAGTCTATGGGCAGTGTTGAGTCTATGGGTAGTGTTGAGTCTATGGGTAGTGTTGAGTCTATGGGTAGTGTTGAGTCCATGGGTAGTGTTGAGTCTATGGGTAGTGTTGAGTCTATGGGTAGTGTTGAGTCCATGGGTAGTGTTGAGTCCATGGGTAGTGTTGAGTATATGGGTAGTGTTGAGTCTATGGGTAGTGTTGAGGCCATGGGTTGTGTTGAGTCTATGGGTTGTGTTGAGTCTATGGGTAGTGTTGAGTCTATGGGCAGTGTTGAGTCTATGGGTAGTGTTGAGGCCATGGGTAGTGTTGAGTCTGTGTAGTGTTGAGTCTATGGGTAGTGTTGAGTCCATGGGTAGTGTTGAGTCTATGGGCAGTGTTGAGTCCATGGACAGTGTTGAGTCTATGGGTAGTGTTGAGTCCATGGGTAGTGTTGAGTCTATGGGTAGTTTTGAGTCCATGGGTAGTGTTGAGTCTATGGGCAGTGTTGAGGCCATGGGTAGTGTTGAGTCTATGGGTAGTGTTGAGTCTATGGGTAGTGTTGAGTCTATGGGTAGTGTTGAGTCCATGGGTAGTGTTGAGTCCATGGGCAGTGTTGAGTCTATGGGTAGTATTGAGTCTATGGGTAGTGTTGAGTCCATGGGTAGTGTTGAGTCTATGGGCAGTGTTGAGTCTATGGGTAGTATTGAGTCCATGGGCAGTGTTGAGTCTATGGGTAGTGTTGAGTCCATGGGTAGTGTTGAGTCTATGGGCAGTGTTGAGTCTATGGGTAGTGTTGAGTCCATGGGCAGTGTTGAGTCCATGGGCAGTGTTGAGTCTATGGGTAGTGTTGAGGCCATGGGTAGTGTTGAGTCCATGGGTAGTGTTGAGTCTATGGGCAGTGTTGAGTCTATGGGTAGTGTTGAGTCTATGGGCAGTGTTGAGTCTATGGGTAGTGTTGAGGCCATGGGTAGTGTTGAGTCTATGGGTAGTGTTGAGTATATGGATAGTGTTGAGGCCATGGGTTGTGTTGAGTCTATGGGTAGTGTTGAGTCCATGGGTAGTGTTGAGTCCATGGGCAGTGTTGAGTCCATGGGTAGTGTTGAGGCCATGGGTAGTGTTGAGTCTATGGGTAGTGTTGAGTCTATGGGCAGTGTTGAGTCTATGGGTAGTGTTGAGTCTATGGGTAGTGTTGAGGCCATGGGTTGTGTTGAGTCTATGGGTAGTGTTGAGTCTATGGGTAGTGTTGAGGCCATGGGTTGTGTTGAGTCTATGGTTAGTGTTGAGTATATGGGCATCTCCGACAATCCGCATTGACCAGCATGGTGAAGTATGGTCAAACACCCCCATGATCGACACGGCGTGGGAGGGGGGGGGTCTTCATTTAGCAGTGGATCGACAAAGTGCTGTCAATTGTTATCATTATCACATATCGCTAGCGTGGCTTACATCGCGACCCATAGACTCGCAAAGAAACCCATAGACTTGTATCGAGAACCCAGAACCGGAGACTAATAGAGACGCATCGATGCACACAGAGACCCATAGACTGTCACAGAGACCCATAGACTGACATAGAGACCCATACACTCACACAGAGATACATAGACTCGTATAGAGACCCATAGACGTACAGAGACCCATAGGCTCACATTGAGACCTACAGACGGACACAGCGACTCATACAGAGACCCATAGACTGACACAGAGACCCATGGAGTCACACAGAGAAACATAGACTCACATCGAGACGAACAGACTGACAGAGACCTATAATAGGCTTCAACTCACACTGATCAGCGTGGTGCAATGTGGTTTAAACAAGGCATGCGCCCCAGTTAATTATTAGAACGCACATTGAATCAACTTTTAAACTAAACACAGAATAATAACCATAGCTGGATTTATATATTTTTTTTTCAAAACTGTTCCCCATTACTCATTCGGTTAACTTAAGAGTCGAGGGCAATCGTGGACAATGAGTTCATATCTACAACTGCGGAAGTTCAAATCTGGTACCTGATAGCTTCCGCTCTGCGGGAGCGTTATCTTGATGACGCTTCGACTGCGAAAACCGTTTAAAACTTCAGTCGTGAAGACAGAACCCTGCGATGAAACATTCGGCGATGGTGAATTTGCGCGCGCGCATAGGGGTGTTTATTCGCGTGTGTGTGTGTGTGCGGGCGGGAGCGGTGGCGCAGCGGTTAGCGCCACTACGATACGAAACGCAGAGACTCGACACTGGTCAACACACTTTTTCTGACATAAGGTATTCCAACGGGTTTAACGTAATTTTGGGGTGCTGATTCCAAATCTGGTATCAGTTTTTGTCTATCATATCAGGTTTTTGAGATATCAAATATTGCATTTTCAATCAAAACTGCAGAAGAAAAATATTAAATGAATGTGGATATCTACATAAAAATTATATTATAAACACACTATCCTAAAAATACAGCACCATATTTTAACACTAAAGCAGTCACTGACTTGCAACAACTTGCAATCATAAGTGACAGAGTTAATTTCGGGTAAAATCAATGAAAATGAGGTATGCCGATAGCATAAAAATGAGATGTGATAGAGCAAATCTGTCTAAAACAGCTGCAAAAGTCCAGGCCAGAAAAAAATATTTTTTTTGTTGACCAGTGTTATCTGAAAGAGTTCTGGGGCCTTCTGCGGGGCTGATTTAACCACGGGATAGACTGGGGGATACAAAGGCGGGCGGTAGTGCTGTGTTAGCCAGACCACCCCACCCCCCTTTGTCCGCCGTATCAGCCTTCATAGGGTCGGTAAAAGCACTTGCCCGAAGAGTCGGCACAAAGGCTATACGGGGGATCTTTGTCTTTTGTATCGTACACGCACGCGCACGCATCCTCCATTCGGGAAGTTTAACTCGTACCTTGAGATGTTTCCAGGCGATTCGGGGATGACGAGATTGCAGTTATTATCGAAGTGGGAGGAGGTGGTCATCGGAGCAGCCGGAGAAAACCCGCCGCGCGATTTCAATTCAAGTTTCATATTCCACTTTGTTGTTGTTTGGAGCGAAACTTCGGGCATCGTGCCAAACAGCACTGCCGTTCTATGCAGAACACGCATCAAGGAGCTTCGGGCGATTTTCTTTGCACTATCATCATCAATACCATCGTCATGAGCCACGGTCGCTCCACTGCTGGATGAAGGCCCTCTTCGGGCTAGTTACTCTACGTCATCGTCATGATGCACGGTCGCTCCACTGCTGGATGAAGGCCCACTTCGGGCTAGTTACTCTACGTCATCGTCATGATGCACGGTCGCTCCACTGCTGGATGAAGGCCCACTTCGGGCTAGTTACTCTACGTCATCGGCATGATCCTCGGTCGCTCCACTGCTGGATGAAGGCCCTCCCCTACCCCCAAGGCCCCGCTGTCACCAACTCTCACGAACCTGTGCGGTAATACTCCAACTCGGTACGGGATTGTTTTGTATCTCGTGATAGAACGCGTGCCACGTTATGTACTTCAATGACTATTGGTAAGTAGTAATAATACAAATATTAATAGTTTATAATATTATTTATTTACCTAGGAAGGTCCACACGGAGTCTCGATGCTAACCGGGATGTTTAAGTCAAATTTCGTGAATTTTTTAAATAGTTTTACCGAATACAATCATTGTTACGGCATTTATTACGAGCACCACTAAACTATAATATCATCTCATATTTTATACATATTTATAGAACGCCCGCAACTCCAGGCGCTTGACTATAGTTTAAAAAATGTTGACGAAACAAAGAATGATAAACGAATTATGTATGACCCTTTCACTACGCAACGCATCGTCACAAACACGGAATACAGTCCCGCGCTGTGTAATTACGCGCAAATTTAAATAACGCCGCTTAAATATACATCGATTACTTTCATGACTGAGAACGTTCAAGTGATTTGTCTCAATCAATATACTCGGACGTCCGTTGCAAGGAGATGGAGCGACTGGGATCGGCCAATGTGCAGGCGCGTGACCGCCACGTGGAACGGATGACGGCGGCGTGGCCAGAGGACTTTCATCCAGCAGTGGATAAACAATGGCTCAGTGATACAATAGCAGCATCCATACGACGTGGAGACCGATTAAAAAACGTGTTCCTGCTCCCGAAGTTTTAAATACATTCAGTATCAATATACACGCAGAGGGAGACAGAGTTACAGTTGTGCAATGATTTCCCGTGGCCTTTTAGAAAACCTACTCGTCTTCTCGATGGGTTTATATTTGATGAGGACGGTGCATAAACGATCACGATAAGGAAGTTTCAGAGAGAGTGAGTGAGCTGCAGACAAGCAAGCAGGTGGCAGCCAGCCCGCCCTACGAACGGGGTCAGTCTATTTTCTCTACACCACAATCCATAATAACACCGAGTCGTGTTTGCTGGGGTTTTTTTTCATGTTTAGTGTTGGTGTCCTAAGCTCCGGTTAGCACTGTTCGTCACGTACGGTGCGAAAGAAGTTCAACGTATATAATATTATTACTATTCTTGGTTCTTTCGGTAAAGTCACGTAGAAGGGAAATAATAAAATAATATAAATATGATTTCCATTCTACGTGACTTTACCGAAAGAACCAAGAATATGAATCCCTGCAGTCACGAAAGCTTTAAATCAAAATATTATTTACTATTAATTACATTTCATTTTTTTCGTGTTCGCTCACTCGTGTAGGTAAAGAGAGAGAGAGAATGGATCACTCAGGGTTACCAGGAGGAGGAGGATGAACCACAGACGAGCGGGGGAGGCAGCAGCAGCAGCAAGAGCGGTCAGGAGCCGGCGCGACCACCAATAATGATTATTGCCCGCGCTCTGCGGACCTCTCTGTGTTAATATATTTATCAGCAGATTCATGAGCGAGAACATAATCGATAGCAAAGGGCGCCCCCCCCTCTCCCCTGAGTTCCTTCCGGTCCGAATGGTCACTTGAAGTGGACTCTGTGGTAGTTCGATGCGATGACGCGAGTCAAGTGATGTGATTAACAAACTCACAAATAACGACGACGACGATGATGCTACGCACACAATGTTTCACAGACGTAAATGAGCGTGACTCCCAGGCTCGGATAGGGTATCTCGCATGAACGGCCTCTATCTGCAACGAGTGATGACGAACCGATAACCGGTACAACTATAATCGGCAACCGTTTTCACAATCGAGTTGCTGCCGGGGAAAGTCGCCGAGTTCGATTAAAATTTATATCGCAACAATTTTTTAGTTTTAAAGTTAACCTTGCGGTTTTTTTCCCTCTCTATATGCTCGGGAGAAGAACACAAACTTTTTTTTTAAAGGTTGTGTTACCGTTAGTGCAAAACAAAAGTTTTAACTAAATACCCATTGAGAAGAGACCATATACGTCTACTTGGCAGGAGAGAATTGCACGTGTTTGTATGCATGATCATGTGTGCATGTACGGGTCTATGCGTGTACATGGATGAGTGTTCGTGGTGGATGTACGTACGCATGACACACGTGTACACGCGTGTACATGTATGTGCATATACCCATACTCACCCGATGGCAATACTCTTAAAGCTCCGCTCACTCCGCGCTTTCGGAACTCTCCCCGTCGGCTCGGTACGTGTGCGCACGTGTACCGGCACGCGTACGGCACGTGGCGTGAAGCGTCTACTACAAGTGCCGCCATGGGCTTGGGCAGGAACTTCGAAGGTAAAGGTGGTAGGACCACGGCAGACGACGAACATCAGCCGTCACGTCGCAGGATCGTCAAGAGATGTGGAGCGACGGCGTGCGGAGGCCCATCATCCAGCAGCAGTGGATTGACCGTGGTTGGTGGTGGTGATGATGATGATGGAGATGGCTTGGGGTGGCCATCGCCCACTGCTGATGGTCTTACACGAGGTACATCGGCTAATCAAACACTATCCTCGGCATTCCACCCACGATGGCTGAACAATGCGCACGGAGATTCCCCGCAGCCCCTCGGAAGGCCGCAGACTGCGCACCAAGCCCGGCCGCCTTTGTCTCCCCAATGTTGATTTTTTTTCTACCGTATTGGTACAAATTTAAAGGCTGAGTCGACCTAGGGGGAGGCCCAGGCATTCCGCTATCGTCTGGTCGGAGTTTTCCCCTGAGCGGATATCAAACTCGGGTGGCTGCAATTGTCCCTGCAGTTTTGTAGCGAAGTGCCGCTTAACCACGATCCTGCCGCTCGAGTCAAAGTCTATTCAACACAAGCACAACGCACTCTGTCTTGTCTACAGGATAGACATTCACACACTCGCTCGCTCTCTCCTCTCTCCACACACACACGCGCGCGCGCGTAACGCACTCTGTCTTGTCTACAGGATAGACATTCACACACTCGCTCGCTCTCTCCTCTCGCTCGCTCTCTCTCTTCGCATTCTCTCCCCTATTGGGTCTATGGCTACAGGCACGTGACTGCGAGTTGGCGGTGAGGTTTCGTCACGGGTTGGTCACGAATTCATTTATCGCACGCGGAGCCACTTCAGCGCAAGCGAGCTAAGCGCGCCACCGATATTAATCACTCCTCGTCGGCATTCGCTGCGCACGCCCGCGACTCGTGAACTCTCTCTCGCTCTCTCTCACTCTCTCCCTCGCTCTCACTCTCTCTCTCTCTCACTTGTCCTGCGTGCCAATTAATTAAGAGCGGTGCAAGGACGATGGGGCCGTGTGATTTCTGTCGCGTTTCGGTGAGAGTGCGTTACGGTGTGCGCGCGCGCGTGTTTATGAATTGCCGCTTAGTGGCGAATGTTGTTGTTGTTTAGGAATTGTAAAGTGTACGCACACGCACCGTACGAACACGCTTTTGCGTGCCATTGAGTCTGAGTTGCGGTGTAGTGTCAAAATATACTATTCCGTTTCATCACTTAAGAGTGTCCTATCTGCGGTAGCGTGGGTACATGTGGGAGGGAGACAAAGGCGGCCGGGCGTGGTGCTTGGCCACTTGCTTGTCCTTGTTGTGCCGTCCCCGCCTTCACGTAGGCGCTCGCTCACAGCTCTTGCCCCACAGCCTGTGGAGGGCTGTACGGGGGGTCTTTGTCTATGTATTTGTATGTACGTGTATACGTAGAGATTTAGATACTAATTGTACGTGTAACTGTTCATGCATCTCATAAGCACGCTCATACTCGCGCAAGCTTATATATATATCTCTGCGGTTAATTAGCGTGGCGCATAGATTGCGCAGGGCGGTATTACTTTGGCATGTAAAGTTTGTAGTGTGGTGTTTACACGCAACATATATGCACACGTGTGTAGGGTTTGTGGGGAGCGGTGGGGTAGTGGTTAGCGCACTGCGCGACTAACCCGGCTACCTCAGTTCGATGCCCGCTCACGGCTAACATCAGTGGCGAATATCTGATCTGATCGTGGGCCTCCCCCGATCCCCTAGGTAGACTCAGCCTTAAATCAAGTACCTGGTGCGATGTGTAAAATATCAGCACTGGGGAGACAAAGGCGGCCGGGCGTGGTGCTGGCCACACCACCCACTCGTGCGCCGGTCCGGCCGTGATAGGTGCTCGCAAACAGCACTTGCCCGCAGCATCCTGGAACAAAAATACTACAGGGGCACCTTTGTCTTTGGAATGCGTTGTAGGTTCACATGTTCCATTTACATATATGTATGTCGCCACATGTATGTTCCATAATTATTTCGTTAAGTGTAGTGTGTATACATGCCATCATGCGCGTTCGGATATTAGTAATATTCACGTATACATGTTATCATGTAGTATAATATGTTTTTTTAAACATGTATTTAGATATCATATACATAATCATATATATGCAGTAGTCCTACACACAATAGTTCTATATAATCTGCAAATACTATATGTGCAGGTCACAATATTTTCAGATACAAATGCGCATCATGTTAATAACGCACAAACCACAGTATTATACAACAATTATAACATGCACATATGCGTACATCACCTACGACAGATAAATTGCGTAAATATTATCGCGTACTCACTAACACAGTTCACATGTACACACATGCCCGTATAGTGTAGGTTGTGCACACGGCACGTACGCGTAAACACATTCGCACACACACACACACGTTTTAAGTGGTACTACAAATACACACACACACACGTGTATTCACACACAAACTGCAGCACGCATACACCACACACATCTGCGTGCACGCACAATACATACACGATGAGTATGCACACCACGTAATATATACATTCACACAATCTGGGCTCATGTATATTTTCTTGCACAATAACACACGCGCGCATACATACACATACATAGTACACACGTAGCTACATAGACAAATATCTCCCGAATAACATTTAACAGACTGTTGGGGCGAGGGTTGTACAGAGGTACAATATACAAAGACACACACATGTACATACGTAAAAATACGCACGCGAATTCACAAACTCACAATTCATTGACACACACAACAGCGGGACGCATAAATACACACATGTAAATACACACATGTACACACATGTACACACATGCAAACACATACGTGCAACTTGTACAGCAAGCTTGTTTGTTAAGTCGTACATATTGACTTTTAGATGCGACAACACAGCAAGTGACGCAACAACAGTCTTCATAACAGCCGCACAATAGGCACAACAGTCGCACAACAGTCGCACAACAGTCAACGATCACCCAACAACAACAACAACAACGACCGGACAGTTGAACAAACCTTCTCGTTGCTGTATAACGACTGCGTGGTCGCATCCAAGTTCCACAAACCCCTCGAAGAAATCCCACAAACCCATCCAACAAGTTCCACAAACCCATCCGACAAGTTCCACAAACTCTCGAAGCTCCACAAACCCATCCAAGAAGTCCCGCAGAACCATCGAAGAAGTTCCACAAACACCATCGCCCGTGGACTGCATCTCTCGCGTTTTTTGTTCGCTCTGTGACAAGCGGGGGGGGTGGTGGTGGTTTGAGAGCGTGCGAGGCCTTAGCGCACGCAACGAGCAATGAGCTGCTGCTGTCACCCCGCGTACGAGACGGAGGTTGGATTCATCAACAGCACGCCGACTCTGGCCGAATGTTTCACTCCGATACCCCCCGCGATGCCGCCATCATCATCAATCACTCCTCCACCACCACCTCCTCCTCCTCCTACTCATCCTCCTCCTCGCGTACACTTTCATCCTCAACCGCCACCTCTTCTCCATCCTCCTCCTCCGCAACAACAACAACAGCATCATCATCATCCTCCTTTTCCATCACCTCCTTCGCTCCAGACAACATCGTCAACGTCGTCTTTGACGTCTTCACGCCAACGGCGGCGATGTCGCCGCCGCCGCCGTCGCCACGCGAAAGAAGATTTTGGAAAACTTTGCGGGGAGAACGCGACTCGAGCAGGAGGAGGTTGGCGGTGGTGGTGGTCCTGGTGGTGGTGATGGTGGAGGTGGTGGTTCTGGTGGTGGAGGTGGTGGTGGAGGTGGTGGTGGTGGTTACCCGTGGATGCGAGCGAAGAAGTGCGGAGGGAAGAAATCGCGCGAGATGATCGCAGC